AGGGTTTACAAAAGACATGTGCACAATGTGTTATGACAGGAACTGTTAAAGAATCCAAGCAAATTGCACATTCTTCATCAGAACCTGAGCTCAGAATTAACTTCATCTTCCTTATTAACTTTTTTCGTAGTTCTTCAGGTGTATCATTTCCTAGAGAAAAGGCTGAAAAAATTAATTTCACACCAAGATATGCAATCTAACTAGACAGACAAGTTAATCTTTACATGGAGAAAAGTTTTGCTTGGGTTTTTTTCTATCATAGGCAAAAAGCACGGTTTAAATTTTAAGAAAATTCAGAAGCTAAAATAGTAGCTAACCCACATAATATACCTTACACAAAGGCAACATTATAGTCTGCACATACTACCAAAGAATAAAAAGTCTGCAAATCCAATTTGTCACTGCTATCTAAGAGTATCTTAGAATCCTGGAAGACATGATTATTATTCCATTTCATTGGTAAGAATTTGTGAGTATATTCTTGAGTCATACTCTAAAAACAATGCCCATTTGACAAATAAGAAACTGTATTTAGGTAATATGAAAAATTTCTCATCCTGATTGAAATATCCCTAACCAATATAATAGTGTAAACCAATTACATCTACTTACCTGAGGGACCATTGGGAGACACTGCATTTGTAAGAAGGTGAGTATGACAACAAATCTGGCGCAATCTAAGCAAAAGACCCAGGACATCTGCATAGTGTGCAAGGACAGTCCCTTCATTAAAATACCTAGAGATAAAAATGTTAAATATTATGAAGGCCTTTAAAACTTTCTTATTCTAAAACAGTGCAAAACAAATGACATTGTTCTTTTTCTCTGGAAATCAAAATAGTGAAAAACGGAAAAGCAAACTACCTTTAATGAAACAAGAGACTTGTAACAATAAAGCAAAATATATAAGAAATGGCTGCCAATTACAATACAAGTTAGATAGCAGATACCGAGAGAGATAACTGCAGATCTCAAACAAACCTGCCAGAGCACAATTCTTCAAAACAGATGGCACAGCCCTGAGGGGAAAATCAGCATCTTTCATGTGCAAAAACAAAACGGTGCATGGCTGTGGTCTGAACTTCCCTGGACAAGTTTTATACCAAAGAGGGAAGACAGGCTAAATAAGAAAACACAACAGACCTACTACTGTATTTACAGAAATGATTACGGGCACAAAATTCCCTATTATAAGGAATCTACAGCTTCTGATCTCTGTTGTATAAGCACAAATAAAACCTAAAAGACTCAGATATAACCCTGAATCATAATTAAATAGGGATACTTCCTACTAATCTGTGACATAGCTATGGCTCTCCCCCTTCACATTAACCTCTTACAAATAGCTAAACCAGAAAGAACTCAAGACATTCAAATATAAATAATAATCAGCAAAAAGCAAGGGAGGAACAAATGGCTGTGAAAGAAAACTCACCAAAAAAATGTTTCCATAGAGCAAATAAAAATTATCAACAAGGATACTGCCATGATTTACTATCATGGCCAAACAACAGTGGTGGTACAGTTCAGAAGTGTGAAAGAGTAAAGTGAACCATCAGAGAAATAAAAGCCACAATGAAACCAGCATAAAAGAAAAGCCACTGACAAACATAAGAATGTGGGAAACAGAAAAGATAAAAAGTAAAATTAAACAGGGGCACTTGGGTGGCTTAGTCAGTTAAGAGTCCAACTTCAACTCGGGTCATGTTGTCCCAGTTCATGGTTTTGAGCCCCACATCAGGCTCTGTGCTGACGGCTCAGAGGCTGGAGCCTACTTCAGATTCTGTGTCTCCCCCGCACCCTCACTCCTCCCTCACTTGTGCTCTGTCTCTCAAAAATAAATAAACTTTTTAATAAAGTAAAATTTAACAAAGATATAGAGGATTAGAATAAAATGGTACCAATGGAAAACAAAAAACATCTAAAACATACAAAGATTAAAAAAATGGGACAGAAAACAACATTTAAAGAAAACTTTCCAGGAAAGGGAGGGTTGGGAAAAAAGCCTGGAATCCACAGATTTAAATAGTATCACATGTTCCAGAAAAAAAAAAATAATAATAATAATAATAGAGGCCTTGGTGCTGGCCTTTAAAGAAAAATCTAAAATAAAATCAGGGTTTTCAACAGAAACATCCAATGGAAAGTACAGCAGAATAATGACAATACAGGTTTCTGAAAGAAGAATGGATAATCCAAAAATTACATACAATCATATATTTAAGTTTATTAAGTCAATACAAGTACAGCTTAATGATTAGGAGCACAGACTCTAGAGCTACACGGAGTTGAAAACCTCGTTCTGCCAATTTAACTGTGAAACTCTGGGTATGTTTTTCTTTTTTTTTTAATGTTTATTTTTGAGAGAGAGAGAGACACACACAGAACATGAGCTGGGGGGAGGCAGAGAGAGAGGGAGACACAGAATCCAAAGCAGGCTCCAGCCTCTGAGCTGTGAGCAGAGCACAACGTGGGGCTCTAACTTAAAAACCGTTAGATCATAACCCGAGCTGAAGTCACTTAACCAACTGGGCCACCAAGGTGCCCCGGGTAGAAGTTTCTTAACCTGTGTCTTCAGCTGTCTCAGCTTTACAGTGTCATGGTAATAATACATACTTCAAGTGACTGTTGTATTAAAAAAAAGTTAATACATGGAAAACATTCAAAATAGTGTCTAGAGTATGGTAAGTCATATACCTATATCTACCCATCTATCTACCTGCTGTCATTATTAGTAATAATAGGAATATGTCAACAAATAATTTTAAATAGTCAACAGTACACAGAAGAAGCAATAATATAATATAAAGGTTAATAATAATAAAAAGGTTAAACTCACAAGCTCTAGAACCAAATCACCTGAATTTAAATACCAGCTGTCATTGACGAGCTGTGACCTAGTACAAGTTACTGTGCCTCAGACTCTTCATCTAGTAAATGTGGGTCATCACTGTATTGACCTAGTAGGATTTTTTGTGAATTAAAACATATAAGTACTTAAATGAATGCGTAACACCTAGTAAATACTCAATAAATGTTACTAAATGTCTTACATATTAAAAAGAATACTTTTAAAACAACCTATTTCTTCTCTATGCTTTCTTTTCTCAAGGCAGAAGATTTTTCAAATAAAATGCAAAACACTGACAGAGCAACCAACTATCAATCCTATGTACGAGTTTCAACTTTCTTCTTCCTTTTTACAAACTTCATGAAAATGCTCTACCGCTACCACTTCTTTGCAATTCCCTTACACCTATAATTTGGTACAGATCTCACTATTCTGGTGAAACTATGTTAAGATTTTATACCAATAACTTCTGAATCACCATTTAAATGGCTTTTCTAAGCCTCTACACTATGTGACACTCCTGACCATTCCCTCTTTCTTCATTATGCTCCTTCCTGGGGTTCTCTAACAGTTTACTTTTCTTCATAATTCTGCCCTTGATAGAATCTTCTACAGTAACTTTATTTTCCTATGTCTTAAATGTGGATATTCCCCAAAGTTTTGGTCCTTAAATACGTTTATTATCTCTATATATTATTTCTCTTAATGTTTTTATCTATTCTCATGATAGTCAGGAATAGAAGCAAACAAGGTCTCCTGACTAGCCATTCAGAATTCATCATTTCATTTGTTTTCCTAGCTTAAGGAATTACTTACCTAGTAAGTTGTAATACTGTTTCATTTACTTCAACTACTAATTCATAAAAAAACAATTTAAATAAAAAACCAAATTATCTTTCAGTATACTTCAGACTTTACTGCTGACATTTCTAAAAAATACTATTCAGTTAAATAGGAAAGAAAATAAAAGTTATTTTCTAAAATGGCTTTCTTTTTTCCATACCTTCCAATAGTAGCTCTGCCTTCATTTTTTACAGACTGATAAATTTTTCTCTCTTCATCTGAAAGTGTAATGTGCTGAATAAATACTTTACGTTCTGGTAACTCCAAAACAGGTTTTCCTTTAATTTTGCTGGTCTTTGTTCTTCTAAGAGTAATATTTTTAATTAGGGATTGTAAACGCCTAGTCAAAACAAAACAAATAATTACATAACTTTTTATTTCTATACAAGTTGATTCAACAAAAACAAAAAAGTATTTTAATATATTACTGTTTTATAACCTAGTAAACATTTTTTAAAAGTCCCTTATTTGGAATTTTATCCAATATGGTATAACAAGTCATAAATTCTACAAATAGACAGTTGTAGCAACAATGCATTGATTGCCCTCAATTCAATACCTGTCAGTTTAATCTTCTTTTATCTTGCCTTTATTTCTCTTAACTTCTCCATTTTTGTTCTAATCACTAGCCTTTTTACTTCTTACTCTGTTAACTACATCACTCAATATTCAATGCTGAAATTCTTAAGTACCTACACTAAGTGCAAGGCATTATGCTAAATATCATGAAACTATGAATGAGTAAAGATATTACCTTCAAAAATATTTTTTCAGTAATATGAAAATCACAGTACAAAAACAAGTAATTTTTACAAAGAAAAAAAATTTTTTTTAATTTTAATTTCCAAAATAATTAAAACACAGTATGTCAATTCAGAAGGGAGAAATGTCTTCTAGGTTCTACAATCTTCACACTCCCTTTTCATTATCAGAAAAAAGGAGGAACATCAATTCTTTAAGGGAAAGTTTTCCTAACGCTGAAATACAAATACAATTTCTTAAATTACAATTTACATAGTTGGTTCTAAGAATCAAGCACACAGTATTGCAAACTAGGCTGGTGGCTTCTGAACTTTTTTCACTATAACCACAATAAGAAATACATACCATCCAGGAAACATTATTATATAAACACACACATATAAGAGAAACATTTCAGAAAACAATACTTACTATGTGTGATATGCTCTATTTTCTTAAACCTTCACTTCTACTTCATTTAGTTTTATAAGGCTGGATGCCATCTTTATGATTTCACAACCTGCTAATGGATTCCAAATTCTGAAAACCACTTCTCTAGGCAAAAACCTTAAACCACATTGACTGATGGAGTACCTTATGAAATGGCTATCACCAAACTGAACTTTATTTATGTCTCCATGAGAAATACCTTTCTTTCTTAAACTCTTACTGATGCCGGTGTATATCCTACCATTCAATTACCACTATATAAAGCTATATAAGGTAAGTTATGAAAATGTAGTGCTTACTGGATGCTCAGAGCATATAGATTTTCCTGCCACTGTTTAACCAATTAATGGTGGTTTCAGGGATAAGAGCCACACACAAAGACCATAAAGCTCTGTCTTTCCTTTTAGTTTGAGTAATATCAAAGAAAGGAAAGGCTTGTGTTTCAGGGGTAGATAGAAGTCTCTGTCTTCCCAGCCAATGATAACTAGGTTCTGAGAGCCAAAGGCATTAAGCTACAAATGCTTCTGGGAGAAGAAAGCCAACAGTAAAGTTAAAATAGTATTCAAAGTGGCAACTGGTTCAAGCTGTTTATAGTTATTTGTTGCTAATATTAATCTGTTTTCATGAAATTACTTACCTAAGTCCCCCTTCATCTCCCATTGTAACAGGACGCTGTATTGTTCTATGCCACCATTCTCTATCAAGAAATGGCTTAAGTTTTAAAAAGGAAAGAAGAGACCACAAGTCCTTTAAAGAATTTTGAATCGGAGTACCTAAAAATAACAGAAAACTGTTTTAACTTCATAACCAGAATATCCATCTGGCCCAATCAGAGAAAACAAGAGCTGAAAATGGGCATTCTGTATTAGGCACACCCACTAACTACCAAGCTGTAACTATAATCTTTTGTTAAATACATACACAATCTTAAAATACAGTTTTGCTCTACTTTCTAGTTCTCACTTGCCATACTAACAAAGAAAAAGACCACAGGTCCAGTATATTCAACTTTCTCCTTATCCAAAAACATGTTTATTTGATTTTAAATCAGCGGTACTAACAGGAAAGAAAAAATAAATTTGAGTTTATATCCTCATCCCCATCTTCTAGTAGAGGTGTAAGAAGTAGCAAACAAGCCTGGCTTCAAGATGAGAAATCGAGAAATCAAGATTCTGACTGAGAATTAAAGTGTCTAATGAATCTCCAAGGTTCAAAAAGAAATCTAGTGATTGTTCCATTATATTATTCAGTGTTGCCATAGCATGGGCAACTGGGAAGAACAAGTCAAAATATTTTATTAAATGATCTATGATTAATTATGGAACAAACTTCTTATATCCACATAAAATTTACAAGTTACCTAATTCACTTAATGATACATACTTGAGATTTTTTTTTTCTTAATATAACCTTTTTACCTGTTAATACCCATCTTCTCTCTGTTTCTAAATCAAGTACAGCTTTTGTCTGCTGAGCATTTGGATTTCTTATGGCATGTCCTTCATCCAGGATCACTCTTAGCCACCTTATGCTATGTAATGGACTATCACCTTTAGTCTGAAATAAATTCATGTGAATTAAAAACACAGGGAAGTAAAACTGTATTTCACATAATTGGGTAAATACATGTTGCTACTATTCTTTAATATGAATGCTTACTACGTGGTAGATATTGCTTTAAACAGTATATACACTAAGTTACTGAATGCTTGAAAGCTTACAAAGTTTTATTATTACTCTTATTTTACAGTTGAGAAAACTGAAGCACCAAGGTGTGAAGTACGTATGTTGCTCAAAGTACTACAGCTAGCAAATAGCAGAGCTAGCATTCAAACCTAGGTAGTCAAGCTCTCTGAGACTTTGGTTCAATGCACTGAGCTAATTCCACCTCAGATTTAAACTGTGATGATAGTTTCTTATACGTAATAGTTAGTGTTCTTACCAGAAGACCAAAATTTTGACAGTAAGTTATTTTGAAAAACATTTTAACAACTGGAATTACAGGCAAACAATTAAACTTCTAAATTAACTGGGAAACTCTTGAACTTCAGCTATTAAAAACAAGTTTATTTTTAAACTGAGATAACCAAATCATTGTGATAGAAAATAATATTCTAGAACACTAGAAAAAAAAGAATTCACTTACACAAACTGCTATCTAAAACTTAGCTAACAATTCCAATTTACACTGGAACTTTTAAGTGTTCTAAATGGCAAATATTCATAAAATATAATAAAACAATTTTCTATTTACTTCTTACATATTCTTAAGTATTTAGAAAGACTATAAAGTCTGAATTTTGGAACTCTTTAGAAACCTTCAGCATATTTCTCAAATTCAACTTCTGAAATAGGAGTCTCAGCATACTTACTCCATAGTCATGAGTTAAAATGTTGTATGTAGTCAAAACAATATCTTGTTTTGAAAGCAAGGCTGGGTCTCTTATACGATCAGGACCATAATAAACATAAAAATTCAAGTGCACATCTGATTTTATGTGTTGTCCAAACTGATCCTAGAAGAAAATTAGAAATATTTTAAATAGTAAATAGATTAGTGTCAGGTAAAATATAAAAAAGTATTGTTCTGGCAGCAGTATCACAAATATTAAAATTTCATAAAATCAAGTTTTCTGTCATCTAAACTAAAATAACAGCTATGATAATAACAATACTAATTATTGTCAGGAAGACTGTCATATATGCAATAATAATACACTATATAAATCTTGCCTGGCCCTACCAATGAGCGGCCACTTCATTTTTAGGAGGAAAAACAACCAAATTTCTTTAAAACGGTAATTAATTTTTGAAAAATTTAGTATTTTAACAGAAAGGTTCTACTGCTACCAGGAAGTAAACTTCACAATATCAAATTAAACAGTAAAAGAGCAATCAATATTTTCAAGAATGTAGGCAGAGGTTCAAGCACCGTATCTACTTTTACTCATTTATCACAGGCCTACTACTGGCCAGGTTATGAACCAGAAAGGCGGTATAGCTAAAAAGAAAAATAAGACCTAGTCCCTGCCCTCTCTTAATCATTTAAATTTAATGATCAATTTAAAACACTTGATTTTTTTTTTTTTTTTAATCCTGAAAACAATGTCTGAGAGACTGAGCAGGAAAAAGAAAATCATGATTAGATTGGGGGAAAAGAACACCAGAGAGACAAAGCTCTCACTCTTAGGTGAGAGATGACAAAGCCCTAAACCAGAATGTCAGAAGTAAAAACAGAATAGAAAGGACAGGTGTGAAAGAAAGATACCAAAAAAAAGAGACTGATGGGACTTGACGACTCATAAATATGGAATAAGAAAAAAAAAGAAGCCCTTAATACTTAAAGTGAGTGCCTAGAAGAAGTGTGTGATAAAGATATAAGGAAGTTGAAAAAGAGGGGAAAGCAGGTGTAAAAATGAGAAATAAGAAGTATTATTATTTTAGACATTTAAAATTTTTGGCCACTACAGAATGTCTCACTAGAGATGTATACTCTGAATATTTAAGTATTGGCCTGTAATACAATGTAGAGATGGACTTTATAAAGTTATCAGCAGACAGTACATGAAATTATAGGAATGTATAAGATTGTCTAAGAACATGCATAAAGAGAAAAGAAGGTTGGGGCAGAGCCTACAAAATGACAGTATTTAAACAGTCGACCTCTGTTTCTACTAAGATAGGATTTAAAATATTCCAGGGGTGCCTGGGTGGCTCAGTCGGATAAGCATCTGACTTCGGCTCAGGTCATGATCTCACGGTTCAGGGGTTCAAGCCCCACGTCGGGCTCTGTGCTGACAGCTAGCTCAGAGACTGGAGCCTGTTTCGGATTCTGTGTCTCCCTCTCTCTCTGACCCTCCCCTGCTCATGCTGTCTCTCTCTCTCAAAAATAAATAAAACATTAAAAAAAATTTTTTTTAATTCCAGCAAAGAAAACATAAAGCAATGTGGCAAACTTTTGAAATCCTTGAATCTTGTTTTTTTTTAAATGTTTTATTTCTGAGAAAAAGAGACAGACAGCGTGAACAGGGGAGGGTCAGAGAGAGAGGGAGGCACAGAATCTGAAACAGGCTCCAGGCTCTGAGCTGGCAGCACAGGGCCCGACATGGGGCTCGAACCCACGAACCGTGAGATCATGACCTGAGCCGAAGTCGGACGCTTAACCGACTGAGCCACCCAGGCGCCCCAATAATTTGAATCTTGTTTAAGTAAATGTAGGTTCCCTTAAAACTTTTCCTAGTACTTCAAAAAAGATACCATGCTTTAAGCAGGGGAGAAAGGCTGACTAGATAGAAACCATGGGAGAAAAGCAGTGGTCAGAAACCTGGGGGAGCGACAAAATCGAACAAGGTGGAGAGATGAAAAGTAACAAAATTTCAAGAAGGAATACAAGATCAATTTTTAACTTGTAATTTATGTTCATTCCCTCTCTCTGAAAAAGGTTTAGCGGCACCTGCGTGGTTCAGTTGGTTAAACATCTGACTCTTGATTTTGGCTCAGGTCATACATGATCTTACGGTTTTGGGAGTTTGAGCACGACATCAGGCTCTTCACTGACCTACAGATTTCTTACAAAATAAAACAGAACAAAATGCTGTAAAAAGAAAAATAAAGTGAGAACAGAGAAAAAGAAACAGGGAACTCAGTGGATATGGCAACAATGAGGTCACTGAAGGCCTGCACAGTTACTATAGAGGGTGTGAGAGCAAAAAACAGACTACTCTGAGGTGAAAAAAAAAAAAATGATACCTGAAATAGTAAAGGAATAAATACTAAGAAAAGAGGATAAAAGATGAAAGAGTAAAAGTGAGAATGTAGAGAATTTTACTAAGAAATCTGGTGGAAAAGAAAAAGAATCAATAGAAAACTGAATCAATGGGCTGCTTTGAAATGGAAAAGAACGTATTTGTGAAAGGACTAGAACTGAAATAGAAAAAAATTAACTGGAAAAAAAGAACTATAGTATTGAGTTTCTAGTCACTGTGCTAAGTGTTGTGTATGAATAAAACAGGTATTGTCTCATTTTCTATTGGGATGATAAGTAACTTGTCCACATATCCAGAATAAGTATGTGATGAAAGTGTGATGGTGTCTTACAGCTTAACTGGATTCTTTCCCATATGTGAAGACAACAAATAGATGATAAGGTAGTTCTATCCTACTCATTAGAGTGCTAAGTCAATTACTTGGGGCCTAGGAAGAGAGTAGCCTATTGAGAGAGTGCAAAATTCTAATTCTTGGCCAGGATTCCATATATGCCCAACCAGTCCTCATTCCCTTAGAAACCAGTTTTTTCCAAATCTCAGTAGGCAAGTCTTTGCCAAAGCTTCCTTTCCAAATTTTATATCATCAAAAGTTTTCCTGTTTTCCAAATATAAAATTATAATGAAATACTGATCAGTCTTTTTAAAATACGTATCCCAAACCCAAGCTCTTAAAGACTCACAGTTTGACTGTTTATACTTCCATTAATACTCATAAACCTCACCCTAAAACTGTCATTCTAGTACCTGTGTACTGTCCTTCCCACAATGGACTACATCTCAAAAGACACAGAATAGTATTGTTGGAATTAAAAAAAAAAGAGCAAGAGGGAACTAAACCTCACTCTGGTCCTAAGAGGAAAATTGACACAGTAATCAGAAAAAGGTGTATTTAAAAAAAAAAAAATATATATATATATATATATGTATGTATATATATGTATGTATGTGTATATATATGTATGTATATATATATGTGTGTATATATATATATATATATATACACCAAAAACTTATAATAAAAAGACAAGAACTGAAGAAGGCAAGAATACATAAAAGTCAAGAAGAAAATAAAGAGGCACAGGATTGACAATTAGACAATAACTACTAATCTTTTCCAAAGAAAATTTGAGAATAAATGGCAAAGCCAGATTATAGGCTAAGTAGCAAGTAAAAGCACAAAGTGGAAATTAAATCCCAAAAGGTATGACAGAGATGGAAAGGATAAGAACGGCAACTTAGAGGTGAGATATAATCAAGAGGGAGTATTTAAAAAAAAATTTTTTTAGAGATTATTTATTTTTGAAGGAAAGAGAGACAGAACATGAGTAGGGGAGGGGCAGAGAGAGGGAGACACAGAATCTGAAGCAGGCTCCAGGCTCTGAGCTGTCAGCAGAGACCCTGACACGGGGCTCGAACCCACGAACCGTGAGATCATGACCTGAGCCGAAGTTGGTCGCTTAACCGACTGAGCCATCCAGGCACTCCAAGAGGAAGTATTTAAAAATGAATAAGATCTGAGTATGTTTCATAAAAAAGCCAGTGGTAAGAAACTAAATAACAGAGGCAAAGAGAAAAAGATAAAATGCAAAGGTGGAAAGAGCTGAGATCCAATGTATAGACTAAGATAATGGTCTTACAAAGAGGAGGACCTCTTCCACCTCTGAGATTAGAGGAGAAAAGGCCAGGAGAGATGCAAAAAACCTTGGACATGGCAAGAATAGAAGTTCACATCCAGTGGTCTTTATGTTCACAATGCTTCCTATAGTCATTATTTCATTATAATATGCAGCTTGAAGCTCAAACTGGTAAGAAAACACAACCAAGCTGCTCCTTATACATAACACATTAAAGAGGTTCTATTCCAATGTAATGTTTCAGAATAGAAAAGCAATCTGGGAGAAAAAAAATTTTCTGGTGAGTAGCCTTAAAAGCACAGGCTCTAGAATTAGTATGTTGGAGACTATATCTTGGCTCCATCATTTATTAGCTGGATGATCTTAGGCAAGTTCCTGAATTTCTCTGCTTCAATTTGGTCACCAGGAAAATGAGAATAATAGTTGTGAGGACTAAATGAGAAAATCTATGAGAAGAGCTTAGGGAAAACTGAGTACACAGGAGTTCACTAAATGCTGTAAGTGGTTACATAAACAAAAGTTATTGCTAGTGTAGTTCTTAGGAAAGTTTTGATAATTCATAAACATAGTGGAATCTTAAAATTATATACCTTTCCCCTTGGGGGACAGAAATGGCAAGGAAGAAGTATAAACCAAATCTTATAATAACAATTAATAATGTTTCTTTCTCTACCATAAATCTTCAAAAAAGAATGACTTCAGTTCAGCAAGTAAAACCTCGATTCACGTAACGATTATTTTGACTTAGACCTAAAGTGCTGACCAAACATATTTCCCCCAATGAATGACTTTAACAAAATACTTTACATGATGAAAACTAAAACATAAATTGTGTCACATTTTAAAAGGCTATGAAGACTTACAATCCAGTTGCTTAACACAGAAAGTGGACAGATGATCAGTGTTGTTCTTGGTCTCTCTTCAACATCGGTTTTCTTTGAACTCTCTACTGCAGACGCTCCTGAAAGAGTGAATCATTTGAAACAGGCTTTAACTTTTTTCTCATATATATGAAGTTAACAAAGAGATGGCAACATGTGCTTCTATGAAGAGTAATTAGGAAGAATTAAAATGAAGCAGATGGACTTCTGTTTCCAGTCATGATGAAGTAAGAGGAACTAGATTCTTACCTTGTCAATTTATTATTTTTTAACTTGTCACTTAAAAAAAAAAAAACTACAATCTAGACAGTGATTACTTGTGGGAGGAGGTAGAGAACTGTGGGGCACATGGAAAAGTCTGGAATATTTCCTAATATGCACTTGTTATTCATAGTTAAGATAACATTTGTTTTGTTTTGTTTTTAATTTATGTTTATTTACTGAGACAAACAGAGCATGAGTGGGGAAGGCGCTACCCAGGCACCCCAAAATAACATTTGTTCTATGTAGATTTTGGAATCTGTGCTATAGTTAGTATGATAACATTAACAGACTCCAAGATGGCTCCCAATAATATCCACTTTCTAAAAGTCACAACCTCACATGGTACCCTCCCACACTCTACTAGGGATATGGCAAAAGTGGTGGTATATCACTTTTGAGATTAAGTTTCTCCCTCTCTCCCTCTCTCTCTTTGATCACTCCCTTTGGAGGAAGCCAGTTGCCATGCTGACAGGATACTCAGGCAGTCTATGAAAGGACACACTACAATTTTATTTTCCATTCTCTACAGGACAGTATTTACATTGTTTCTAACATTTTTCTAAAATAACGCAGTAAGAACTTTTTTTCATGCATCCTAGGTGATTTATCTATCTTCATTATTTTGGACCCAATTGCTCAGCATGGTAATTTATACTCCACAGTACCTGAGAGTTCCTGTTGCTGCACAATCCTGCCTACACTTGGCACTGTGAGATTTTTAAATGTTTGTAAATATAATGGGTGAGATAGTATCTCTCTGTTCCTTTAATCTGATTTCCCCAATGACTGAATCTGCGTATCTTTCCCATGTTTATTGGTTTATTGGTGTTTTCTTTCTTTGAATGTACATTTGTATTCTTGGTGGCTATTCTCCTACTGGATTGTCTTTTTCCAATGGATTTGTATAGGTTTCTTTACACATTTGAAATGCTGATCTTCTTTAAGTTATACTTACCAGAAATATCTTCTTTAGTCTTATCATTTTTTACCTCATTTATGGTGCACTTTGATGCATGGAAATTTAAGATGTAGTAGAATTTCATCAATTTTTCCTGTTTTTTGTGTCTTATTTTTGAAAGCACTGTCTACCATATCACTTCTGTCTCCACTCACTGATTTTTAGTTTCTATTCTGCTTTTCTTCCAGAAATATGCTTATTTTTTTCACAGCTATGATTTTTTAAAGTTTCTCTTCTATTATTATGGCTATGTGCCTGCAAAGAGAAGAAACTTTCTGCGTGTGAACTTAATTCTATCCAAATTCTATCTTAATTCTATCTCAACAGAAAATTCCACATTTCTTAAAATTTCTAAAATTAGGGTCCAGAGTATTCTTACTTAAAATGCCTATATTTTTTATTCCTTTTTTTTTTTTTAAGATTACTTATTTCTGAGAGAGAGCGAGCAGCACATGTGCACAGGAGCAGGGGAGAAGAGAGGAAAGAAAATATCAAGCAGGCTCCACGTTCAGCATGAAGCCCAAGGGGCGCTTGATCCCATGACTGTGAGATCATGACCTGAGCCAACTGAGTCATCCAGACACCCCTATTTTACATTCCTAACTGTCTTAGACCAACATCATTCTGTGTTGGGTCAAATAACCACTTTAACAGGTCCCTTTCATCATTCTTTATCTCAGTGTCCTCCTTAATTTTATTCATAATGCTTATTATTTCAAGTTATGTGTTCACTTATTTATGTTTCCCCATCATTAGACATTAGCTCCATGAAAACAGACTTTTGTCTGGTGTATCCCCAACATGTAAAACAGAGGAGATTAAGGCACAGAGATATAAAAACTCATCCCAGATCTCCTTAACCCTAGAGATCAATCTCTTTCCATCTCAAATATTTAGAGTCTTACACAGCGTTTTCCTACGAATTACAAAATATAAAATAATAATAAAGGTCACTAACATTCATAAGTGAAAAACAAATTCTACTCATACCAAGAACTGAATATACAATTTAAAGGAATTCAAATTAAATCAGGTTTTAAAGAGCCATCAAGGGGCACCTGGGTGGCTCAGGTAGTTAAGCATCCAACTCTTGATTTTAGCTCAGGTCATGATGTCACAGTTTGGTTCATGAGACTGAGCCCCACATAGGGTTCCTCACTGACAGAGTGGAGCCTGCTTGGGATTCTCTCTCTCCCTCTCTCTGCCCCTCCCCTGCAGACATGCACTCTCTCTCAAAATAAACATTAATAAATATTTTAATAAAAAAATAAAAAGCCATCAATTGCTCTGGGCCTTTAGTAGAAAACATTTCTGCTATTGAGTAAAAGACCTCTTTCTATCATATCTTTGACCTAAAATAAACAGAATTAAGAAAAGGTATTAGAAGGAAAAACAAATGAACATGCACTTCTGAGAACAACAGGATTCTGTAATGTTTTCTTTTTAAACTTCTTGTACCCTGTTCTTATAACTTTAGTCATTAAAATTTTTTTGCAGTAAGGGGCGCCTGGGTGGCTCAGTCGGTTAAGTGTCCAACTTCGGCTCAGGTCACGATCACATAGTTCGTGGGTTCAAGTCCTGCATCGGGCTCTGTGCTGATGCCTAGCTCAGAGCCTGAAGTCTGCTTCAGATTCTGTGTCTCCCTCTCTCTCTGACCATCCCCTGCTCACGCTATTTCTCTCTCTCTCAGAAATAAATTAAAAAACCTTAAAAAAACATTTTTTGCAGTGAAAAACAGAAAAACAAAAGATTAAAAAACCATGGGATTTACTGACCTTTTTTCAACATTCTCCTTTTTGTTGCAGGGGTAGATGAAATAAGTGCACATGCAAATTCTGCATCTTCTTTAACCTTAGAAGATCCTGCTGAAGTAAAAACCACAGAATCATTAAGATATTGGAAAATGAATTCTCCCTTGTGCTTAGATATAGGTACCACCTGAGGACTGTAAATGGAAATACCACTTCCACATTCTATATCTTAAGAGCTTACACTACTACATAAAAACAAAATATCTGGTGGCCTCTCTGACACTAAGCATATCATTCCAATTCAGAGAAGGAATACACAGTCACTTATCAAAAAGTGATACTTCTCTTGAGATGTTAAAGTAGGAGCAGCCATATGCAAAGTGAATCAGATTCCAGGTGGAAGAATATTTTCAAGGAAACAGATGTTTGACTTCTAATGACGAGACTACGAAATTTTCAGATCAGTTGGTGGTAATGAGTTATTTTCCAAATGCAATACAATTTCTCAACTAATTAGGAATAGAATATGATCTGATTTACAAGAAAAGAAAAATAAAGAGTTACATTTTAAAGTAACAGGTAAAAGTAATGAGACTGGTTATTTTTACATCTGTATGACAACATGAACTTCCAATATTACCCAGAAGATGCTCTCCCACCCAACTTTTGTAAGTATAATTTTTATATATTTTTATATATACACATATATATATACACATATATATATACACACACAAATAAGGTTTTATTGAAGTCATTTTATAAGTTAGTTTAAATATTTCTCTTAGATTTTAATTTGAAAATAATCTTTCAATCTGCCTCATTCATTTGCCACCCTTGATAAGTTCGATGGAACAGTTCAAATGTGAATAGCAGGGGGCGCCTGGGTGGCTTAGTCGGTTAAGCGTCCGACTTTCGCTTAGGTCATGATCTCGCGGTTCGTGGGTTCGAGCCCCGCGTCGGGCTCTGTGCTGACTGCCAGCTCAGAGCCTGGAGCCTGTTTCAGTCTGTGACTCCCTCTCTGCCTGACCCTCCCCTGCTCACTCTGTCTCCCTCTCTCTCCTAGAAATAAAAAAAAAAAAAAAAATGTGAATAGCAGTCAGGTTTAAGATCTGTTATTAAAAAATTCTAAGCTAGAGAGATAAAAACCTATGGAGTTTTACTTTAATAATCTTTAAGAGCAGATTTCATATACGAAGATGTATATACATACCTTTTACTCTTTTAGTCTCAGACTGTAAATTTTTCAATTTGCCTACAACAAACCAAATATAAAAATGGTCACACTAGGAAATTAGAATATAAGACACATTATCAAATTAAATCCATTTCACATTACCTTTCATTTTCTGTGGCAATTCACTTGCTTCAATTTCTTCTGAATCACTGCTTTCAATATACTGGACAACAGTTTTTCTTCTAAAATAAAGTATACATGAATTTTTTATCCAACCGAAATAAAACGAGATATGAAAACATAAGGTTTAATAAAAGCAGTACAATGCTCCTGTGTTGCCTATTTATTATTTTTTTTTTAAATCAAGAAAAATCTGACAAATGAAAGTAAAATTTCCTAAAAAGCATTTTACTCTCATAACCAGATACATTTATATACAAAATGCAGTACCACTATTACTAAATTTGAAAAAGTAAACATTCTAGTCATCATTTTAAGACTGCATTTAATATTCACTAATTCAAACAAAACATCTATATAAAACCAGAACTAAGAATAACTCTTATCAAAGAAAATAATTCCAGTAAAATGAGGAGCTAAGAGGCAAAAATATAATTCTTTCGCAATGAAAAATTTTATGTATTTTGTATAGAAAAGTACATTACAGTGATTAAGTTCCTAGAAATCATGGACTCTGGAGTCAAGGCTGCCTATATTTAAATTCCCATTCAGCTACTTATTTGCTATGTGACTTTAGGCAAGTTGTTTAATATTCATCTATGCCTCATTTGGAAAATATGAGTAAAAATATGATTCACTTCATAGGATAAAATTTGTTACACTATATGTAACCCCCTTAAAATAATGCCTGTCATACAATAAACATACATGTATAAAGTATCATATATATTGGTTACTAGTTTATCCCATGTCCTCTTTATTATTATTTCCATGTCCTTTAATCTTATCTGGTCAACGTAACAGTGCTATTCTCAGGCTCATGGTCAGCTAAGAATTGTAAGACTTGAGATCTAGATGAGAAACTGAACCTCGATTTTGTGCTCAGTGTAAGACAGGTATTAATGAAGAAAATAATTAAAAGCCCCAGTTTTGAGATCTTTATTGGACTAGCTAACAGAGACTCAGATTTGAAATCACATCGGCAGATATTAATGGTAGACAATACAAAACAAAAAAAAAAGTCATTTAGACCTATTTCAGAGTGTAAATTAGACTTATAAAGTTAACAGATTTGAGTTAATATCAGAGGAGCAGTATGTGCTTTATTCAAATTCTCTCTCCCTCTAGTCTACATTAATACAATAGTCTCCATAAATAACTTCATCACATCTTATTTCTACTAAAGGTGAAGACAGAAAGAACTGAGATGAGCAGAATGCTTTTATCAAGTCATTTAATAAATAGTTGTCTGTTTTTATCTCCTGAAAATCTAAGGAAAACTCTTTCCAAATCAACAAAAACAAAAAAACTTGGAAGCTAAAATTTAGTTCCTATGTTAAACAACAGAAAAGAAAGTGGTAGAAAGGCAAGTGATTAATAAAAACTACCAATTCAATTCTTTTATAGATTGGTATCACTTTTCTTCATCTATAAAATGAGAATACCTACCTGTCTAAGTAACAATGATTTTGGCAGTTTTAAGAAACAGAATGAATTTGAAAGAACTATACAACTGAAATATTGGTCTTATCTCTCTCCTATATATAAGAAAATGGAGAAAGAATTTAAACAAATATTACATACAATCAAACCATAACAAAGTTTACCTTTTGGGGCGGGAGCTAGACAATTCTGACTTGGGATATTTATTCTTTCCCTTGACATCTGAAATACTGGGTTCTCCACTATATCTAGATCCTTTCATTTCAAAGAAAAGGACAAATATACAGAGTATTAGTAAATTATATTGACTACAAGTATCCTTTAAAACCTCGGTTTTCCAACTCCATAGTTCAACTTTCTTAATACCTTCATTCCTGTTCTTTCAATTAGACAGCTATTCTCTCTACTTGTTTTTAAATATAGCATATTCTCACTAAAAAATACCTTCAATTTCTTGTACCCAGTCTTTCCCCTGTAGTCATCCAGCCAATTCCCAAACTGGCTGGCTGAATTTCCTGTTGTACACCAAGGCAGCTAAGCGCTGCTGGAAAAAAATGAACAATAAATAGGTGGCATTACAATTTACATTTTCAAATCTCAGCTATTGCTTGTGTCACTTAGCAACTCTTTTATATATCACACAGGCTCCCTACCTACTCACCACAATGGTCTATACCATACTGGATCCTTTGCCTAGATTCTTAACTCCTGGGACTCCTATGTGATGACCTAGTTAACCTTCAAAGAAAATCGATTGCCATCTTCTATAATCCCAATTTTTCTACCGCTTTAAAATTCCTTCAGTTATCTTTATTTTCCATCAACATTATTTCCTTTCCTTCTAATGCTAACTCACCTGTCTATGCTCTCAGTCTCACTGCCCTACCCCCGCAAGAGACCTAAAAATTATTCTCTCCACTATACCTCAAACCTCTTACCCATGGATTTCTTTCATAATGCTCCCTCCTGCAAAAAAATAACCCTCAATTCTGCCTTCATCCCCAACGATTTTTCCATTTCTCCTATTTCATACTTAGCAAAATACATAACGACATACAACTGTTATTTCCAATTCTTCACCTACTATGTTAAAATAGTTTCAGTTTTGCTCTGCTCTAACCGATCTTCAAGAAATTAATTTTGTGTTGGGGCTCCTGGGTGGCTCAGTCAGTTGAGCATTCGACTTCAGCTCAGGCCATGATCTCATGTCCATGGGTTCGAGCCCCACGTTGGGCTGTGTTGACAGCTCGGAGCCTGGAACCTGCTTCAGATTCTGTCTCCCTCTCTCTCTGCCCCTCCCCCGCTCACTGTCTCTATCTCTCAAAATAAAGATGTAAAAAAATTTAAAAAAAGAAATTAATTTTGTGAAGGTCAATAACAGCTACACCAGCTATTCAACTGATAAATCCAGAGATCTCTTTTCATTTCTCCTCTAACTTCAGAATTTGGCTCTAACCTATCTTTCTATCATTATCTGTTATTCATGCATATTACATTATAATTACCATAAACTACTCTTAGGTCCCAGAACAAAATAGGTTTTATGTTGGTGTTCTTTTGTTTTTACTGTCCTTTCATGAAATTTTTTTCTCAAACAAAAATGTTCTCCCTTAGCTTCTCTGACTGGTGTACAAACACCCAATTCCATCATGACCTCCTTGATGAAATTTTTCTATTAGTTCTCATGAGATTTTTAGAAAAAAAGATCTAAAATTTTTGTATATTACAAAGCCAGAGCTTGAATTACATCATCAAACTGGAAAAATTTAAATCAAATATGGGTCATGGTTCAAAAGTAAACTTTACCTTTGATTAGTCCATCTGCCTTTTCACTGGTATTGTTTCCTCCAAGTTTCACTGTTTGATCGTTAACATTACACTCCTGGATGAAAAGGCATATTTCTTACAAAGCACTGCTGTCAGTTTTAAATAAACTTAAAATGCATCCTATTTTATACTGCTTTGCTTTACATAATAAAGATCACTTATATTGCTATCTCATTCTGGAGCAATGGGGGGAGATGCATTAAGTGACAAGGAAAAATAAATGGATTAAAAATTTTTTCACAAGTATCTCAAAAGAGAAAACTAGTTGGTCTTTATCTGTTCAAAAGAAATACAAATAACAAAACTCAATTATAAATAGCATATTCATTACTGTAAGAAACACTTGTGAAATGGAACTTATTTTAGATTTAAAAGGAATTCTCAGACTATGAACTTTCAAACCAAGAGTCCCTACTCAGTAAATAACTGATTTTTAATGAGACCCTTATTGCCATCTTTATTCTTTGGAATGCCCAGGGTGGGTAGAT